GCTCCAGTAACACAACTTCCTGCTGCTACTTCAGTGCTAACAATTTCCTGCTGCTGCAGGCTCTGGGCATCTCAGTGTTCCCTGCTGATTTCCTTTATCTTGTCCATAGCTCTTTATTAGTTGCTTGAAAATTCACAGTGGAATGTATTTCCTGCTTCCTGCCTGGTACAGGATGTATCTGTGAATATGACAGACGACCCTTTAGAGTAGCCAACAAATAAGCACTGTCATTTGCACCTCAAGTGTCTCCCAAAGCCCAGTGTGTTGAAGGCTCACTCCCCAGCTTGTTCTGTTGGGAAGTGGTGGAAGCTTTAATAGGTGGGGCCTAGTAGGAGCCTTAAGTCATTGAGGATGAGCCCGAGGCCCCAGTGCCTTCCTCTTCCTTTCACACCTGGTCATGAGGTGAACAGGCCTCCTCTGCCCAGCGTTCCTGCCGTGATGTGTTGCTTCACCACAGTCCCGAAGCAATGCTGCCAAATGGTCATTGACTGAAACTTCCAAAAGTGTGAGCTCAGAAACACGTTTCTTTTGTTTAAATTATCTCAGGTGTTTATTATAGTAATGGAAAGCTTACCAGTACAATCGGCAGGATAATTTCAGAGTGCAGTAAGTGGGATGGAGAAATAAATGAAGAAATGAAGAGACAAAGCCAGAATGGGAGGCCACACGAGGTAGGCTGGCTGGAGAAGGCCTGTGCAAGGACCTTAGGCTCAGTCCACTGCAGAAGGAAGCGCAGCCAGGGGAGGCTGGAGCTGTTCCGGACAGAAGGCTCATGGGAAAGGCGAGACCAAAGATAAGGAGAGTTTCAGTTTGTTTGTTTTTGTGGAGCTGGGGAAGGAACCCAGCTCCTCACTCATGTGAGGCAGTGCTTTTCCACTGAGCCACACCCTCAGCTTTGGAGCTGGGATTCTGTGCAAACAATGATACCACACTGAGGATTTCAGCTACCTGTACAATCTAATTTATCTGTGGCACAAATGAGCCCTTTTGGTGGCTCCCCAGCATACAGGAGGTAGAGGCAAAAGTGGAGGCCAGGAGGCCAGGGAGAGGCTATTTCAATAGCTCTGGAGACTGTTTTTGACAGGAGGAAAAAGCAGCAGAGATGGAGAAATGGCAGGTCAAAGACCAGTAAGCATGGCTCATTTTTAGTGTCATCCTCTCACCTGGTGGCTGGGACCTGCCAGGCTTCTTCCAAGGGGTGGCCACCTTAGCAGTGGGAAGCCTGTCAGTCCTGTGATGCTTCCTCATGAGACCAGGCAGGAAGAGCTGCTTTCCTTCCTCCTATAGCACCCCTGACCCCAAGTGACTTCAGTTGCCCAGGTGATAGCTCCTGTTGTAGTTCCGGTTGCTTTTGCCTCTTAGAAATGGCTGCTCACTGTGACGCATGGCTTGTCACTATGATGCATGTTTTAAGAATCAAAGATAGCCCAGTACTCTACCTCCATAATCCCGCCTTTGCAACCCCATAAAAACTTCCCTCCCTGGGCCTTTGAGGTCGGACATTTTGAGGGACAATTGATTCCTAGTCAGTGTCCATCAATGTTAAAGAAATCTGCCTCCAAATCCCAGGCGTCATTTGGTGTTTCTGTTTGCCACAGCATTCCCGTCTCATAGCTGATGGGCCCCCATCTTGGAGCTGATGCCTCTGGGTACAACATCTAGGCCCACAACTCGGGGTGCTAGGAGCTTCTCATATGCACAGAAGTAAGAGGGGGAAGTCCCACTCAGTTCTGGGCCAGCACAGGTGGCTGCAGTAGGGCTGCCCATGTCTCCGGCTATAGGACCTTACAGTAGGACTTCCCACCCTGGCCTCACCCTCTGCTGGGAATGTCCTCCAAGAAAGCCTTTCCTGACACATGGCCTCGGGCAGGGCAGGGAACCTGCCAGGTCCCTGGGCTTTCCATGGACAGAGCTGCTCTGGCACCTCTGAAATCTCAGGCAGAGACTAGCATGTTGTTCTTTAAAGACTGAGCAGCAAGGGCCCCTCCAAATTCATGTGTTGAACCCTCATCCCCAAGGTTAGGAAGTGGGGCCTTAGGGAGGCAGTTAGGTTGTAAAGGTGGAGCCCGACAATGGCCATGATAACAGGAGGCCAGAGAGCTCTTAGCCTCTTTCTGGAATGTGGGGAATCAAGAAGGTAGCAGTCTGCTACCAAGAAGAAGGCGCTCACCAGACACCCTGATCTTAGATTTCAGCCTCCAGAATAATGGGAAACATTGCCTTGCTGGCTGGTAACTCCATACCTGACCTGCTGGGCCTGAGTACACAGCCAGCATGCAGTGGATGCTCACCGGCCTGTCAGTCACCACCTGGCTTCTTAGCACTGGGGTCATCTGTGCCTGCACATGCAAGGGTCTCTTGTGATCTCTTTCTTTCTCTTTCCCTCCCTCCCTCCTTTCCTTCCCCTCCTTCCTTTTCTCTCTTCTGCTCCCCTCTCCTCCCTTCCCCTCCCCTCTCCTCTTCTCTCTCCTATCTCTCTGGTACTGGGGCTTGAAGCTTGATCCCAGGACCTTTGCACTGAGTCACATCTCCAGCCCTTTTTAGTTTTTAGTTCGAGCCAGGGTCTTACTAAGTTGTTATTCTTCCTGCCTCTCAGGAATTGCAGGTATGCACCACCACATTTGGCTAATCATCTCATTTAACTCTCAAAATAGCTTGGTAGGAGAGTTGATTTTTTTAGAGTTGAGGAAAACACAGTTTAGGGAATCAAGTGATCTGAGAAAGGTCACACTATGCAAAGGACTAAGGGTTTGTGTCCCCTCCAAATTCATGTGTTGAACCCTCATCCCCAAGGTTAGGAAGTGGGGTCTTAGGGAGGCAGTTAGGTTGTGAAGGTGGAGCCCGACAATGGCCATGATAACAGGAGGCCAGAGAGCTCTTAGCCTCTTTCTGGTATGTGGGGAATCAAGAAGGTAGCAGTCTGCTACCAAGAAGAAGGCGCTCACCAGACACCCTGATCTTAGATTTTAGCCTCCAGAATAATGGGAAACATTGCTTTTTTTCCTGGTACTCATGATTGAATTCAGGGTCTGGTCTAGGCAAACACTGTGGTACTGAACTGCTGATTTGCTCAGGCTTGCCTTCAATTTGTGACTCTCCTGCCTCAGCCTCCCAGGCAGGAGAATTTCTGTTATTTATAAGGCCCCCTGGAGTATGGCAATTCACTATAGCCGCCTTCCTGAGGCTCCCTTGTATGTTTCTGGGGCTCACTGGCAGTCAGGAGTCCAGCACATTGGCTACCCCTTGCCTTTCTAGCCCTTCTCCCTTCCTCCCCAAGTCCTCTGTGTAGCTTGGTTCCTTTTGGCTTCTTAGGAGACTGCATTTCCAGGGCCTCTGGTCTTGCTCAAGTAAATCTCTTCATTCCATACACATTTTTCTCTTTGGTGAGATCTTACTCATTTTCAAATAATTTTGTCTCCCGAGAAATTTCTCAGGTTGCAGTACTCGCCTCTCGCCCTGTGCCACCACCCCACACTCTCACTCTGTATGCTGTATGTGCTACACAGCACAAGCACTGGGCCCTTCGCAGGTCCTATCACGGCACTTGGCTTACATCAGTTTCCTAGCCTGTGACTTTTGAACTGTCTTAAGAGCTTTTCTTTTTCTTTCTGTAGCACTGTGCATGGCACAGTAACGACTCAGGCCACTCATTGAATCCTCTATTAATGTTTTCTATTCATGTGGCCTGTACTAGGGAGACAATGGGGAGTGGAGTAAAAGCAGACTTGTCTCTGTCTTGAACTTAATAAAGTTTTTTTCTTATTGTTGTTGTTGCTAAAAATAAAAAGTCAAGTTAGGGCCCCTTTAGTCCCCACCCAGACTAAAAGGAAGGACCAGAGGGCAGCAGTTCTGGGCCCTGGTCCCAGCCCTACCTGCTCCTGTTGCGTGGGATCAGATGAGAGCAGTTAATTACCTTCTGTGTCTTGCCCAGCACCAAGTCACTATGTGGGCCCATGGAAGATTTAACCCCGTCTCACATTACTTCATTACCTGCATTTTATTTTCCTCAACTCTCAAATGGGGAAAACAGAAATCTTGCCTATTTTTCTTTTAGAGCCACATTGCCCATCATTCCTTTCACCTATAGGCATTATACATTCTGTTCTGGAAAGGCCAGGGGTCTGACCCTGCAAGGCCTCCTCACAGAGCCATGTGGGGTGCAGCACTTTCTTGCTTCCCCAGTCAGACCAGGCCTGGGAGGCTGAGGGTGGCCTTGTGTCAGCTGGGCAGTTCCTCGGGCCCTCAGCACCCACAGCCCCTGTCACCCACACTTGCGGCTGCCTCTCCCCCCCACTGTGCCGGCCCCACCTCTGGGCACACTGAGACAGCAATGGAGACTGGCCGTGGTGGCGCACTTGTAATTGGGATTCTAAGGAGAAGCTGTCAGGTACCTGGGAGGAAACCCCACCAGGGTCCCATGAGAGTGTATGGGGGGCTGGAGGGAGGTCCTTGTAATGGAAGTGGAGGAGGACAGATGTGAGCTGACTCTTAAGCTTTTCTTGAGCCCAGTACCCCCACCTTTTGCTGACCCTGGCGCTCCCAGTTCCCAGCCCTCACCACTAGCCCCACCTAGTTCTGGCACCAGCAGCTCCAAAGGCCAGGAAAAGGGTCCAGATGAAATTGCAGATGGGGTCAGCCCAAGGAGACTGCTTTCCCCTGAACAACTTGTAGCTCCCTGGGCGAATATGGTCAGGCTTGTGCCTGTGCCAAAGAGGGGAGGGCCTGGAGACCATCCCTCTGCCTCGTACCCCAGATTCAACTCTGACATGGATGACCTTGGATTATATAAAGTATTATGTTTCAAAATGTTGGCAATGAATTTATGCATGGGCCCAACAAAACGCTTTTGGGTTGAGAGTACTAGCAGGAGAATGTCTAAAGCCCACCCTTTTGGTGCCTGAGGAAGGGGCTTGTGTTCCTTGGGCCCTGAGTGCCTCTGCCCCAAAAGGCGCCCATTTCACACCCCGAGACCAGACTGGTTTAGGCCACGGCTGCCCTACCGGCTTAGGGCAGTGGATGTAGCGTGCCAGGCTGATGATGAGGTCATGTGTGATGGGATCCACCAGGTTCCGGAAGCTGGCATAGCGGTACAGGACATCATCCAGGGAGGTCGACTCCATGCCCAGGTCCTGTAAGAGCAGAGGAAGCCCAGAGGTGAGGGGTGGGCATCCAGATCAAGCGCGATCAAGTGCCACCCAACTCCCCTGTGTCCCCCTGCATAGCAGGTGCAGCTCCCTGGGGCAGCTCAGCAGCCCTCAGATCCCTTGCAAGGAAGTGGCTACCAGACATGCCTCAGGGGACCAGGAAAAGCCCCTGCCTCTTTACCTCTACGTTGAGGGAGAGGTAGGACTCCCTCTGAAGTTCCTGGTTTATGAGCCTCCCCCAAGACAGCCCCTCATGCTTCACTTTTTGGGTTTCCCCAACCATGAAGCCAAGCTTGGTTGATCTTTGCCCTAGTCGCTGCATCTCCATGGGGGTAGAGTGTGGAAAACTCTTTGCCCCTTAATGAGCTTGTGCTTCCACTGTAGACAATCCAACTTCAGTGTCCTTTGCCCTGGAAGTTTTTTAAACGTATTTTAGTACAGGGTCTCACTACACAGATTGGACTCATAGTACTCCTCCTGTTTTCAGCCTCCCCAGCGCTAGGACTACAAGTGCGCCACCATGCCCAGTCTCCATTGCTGTCTCAGCATGCCCCAGGGGCAGGGCTGGCACAGCAGGGATGGGGGTGGGGGTGGTGGTCGTGGGGAATCGACTCCTAATCCCTGTGCCTGCCTAAGCAGGCACTTTAGTCTGCTGAGCTATCTGGCTGCCCCTGCGCTGGAGGTTTTTGAACTGTGGGAGTCTAAGGAGAAGCTGTCAGGTACCTGGGAGGAAACTCCACCAGGGTCCCATGAGAGCGTACAGTGGGGTCCTTGTAGTGGAAGGGGAGGAGGATGGATGTGAGCAACACCAAGTGGGGCAGTAGCAACAATGGCAGGAACAGAGGTTCCCCTGGGCAGAGGAGGGATGGAGTCTGAGGGTGATGTGATTCAGGTCATGGCACCCAAAACAGGGCACCATGGCATCTGAGGAATAAGCAGAAGCCAAAAGCCTGTTTCCTCTTAGCAGGTCATAGCCTGGTTCCTGCAGGAAAGAAACACTGTTATCCTTCAAAATAGACCCACGGAGAGTCTGAATGAAAGGGCTTGCTCAGTTTATGGTACTGTCTTCTGACAAGAGTTCTGCCCATAAAAATATACACATTTATTTTTCTTCTGTGTGAGTGTGTAAATGTGTGGTAGTGCGAATAAACTCACAGCCTCCTCACTGAACTTTATTCCTAGCCCCCACCCATTTTTTTATTTTACTCCTAGAATGCTGATATTACAGGCCTGTCCCACCATGCCCAGCTTTAATTTTGAGTCAGGATCTTGCCAAATTGCCCAGACTGGCCTTGAACTTGAGTTTCTGCCTCAGCCTCCTGACTAGCAGTAATTAAAGTCATGTGCCACTGTACCTGGAAGATTTCTGTGCATTTAGTCTTTCTTTTTTCTCTTTCTTCCTTTTTAAAATGTATTTGGTACAGGGTCTCACTACACAGCTCAGACTCACAGTGGTCCTTCTGTTTTCAGCCTCCCCAGCACCGGGATTACAGATGTGTATGAACACGCCTGGTCTCGGTGACCAGCTCTGCACACTCGGGGGTGGGGCTGGCACAGCATGCGGTGCCAGGGATCAAATCCTGGTCCCTGCGCTTGCCTAAGCAGTCACTTAGTCTGCTGAACTATCTCACCAGCCCCTTTCTTTTCTTTTTATATGCCAGGCCCTAGGATAAAACTCAGGGTCTTCTGCATGCACTGTTCCCCATCCCTTCATTTGAGCTTCAAGAAGGGGCCAGTTTGGAAGCTTTACTCCCCACTTTGCAGAAATGAACCTCAGAGGCAATGGCAGTGTCCCCTCCAGGTTCTCGGGCTGCTGAAACAGTGTGGGGAGACCAGGAGTCTGGGACACGAGGTGAGGCGTGGCTGAGTGGAGGGGGCTTCTGAAACGCTGGCTGCTGAGGCCTGCAGCAGGGCCCTTTGCAGAAGCAAGGACAGCATGTGCCTTGGCCTCTGTCCACCCTGGCCTGTTCAGCGGGGCTGCACCCTGAGGCCAGCTACGAGTCTGAGTTTTCTCATCTGTAACAGGAAACAATGACCTAGCATCACAAGTTAGTAAAACAAAGCCAAATAACATGGGCAAAGCCTTTGGCAGGGATGACAGCGCTCATGAGAACAGCTGCCCTGCCCATCTCCTTTCCTACTTCTCCCAGTGCCTCTCTTGATCTCTCTCTGTACCACATCCTCACCCGATGTGTCAAAAGCCATTAAGTGTCCAGAAAAATGCACAGGGACTTTGGCACATGAAGTCCATGCTGCCTTCTCCTCTGGGCTGTGTGGGCACAGGCATTCCCAGGACACACACTACCACCCAGCAATGTGCGCAGACACGGCCCTGCCTTGTGGGTGGAGGAAGCTGGGGCTGGAGACACAAGAAAGCCGCCAGGCAGAGGACTCGTGTTGCAGAGTCTCAGCAGGCTGTGTGGTCAAAGGGCTGTGGCCCGGCATCCAACTTCTCACAACCCACAGCTCCAGGCTCTCCTTCCTGGGGGAGAAGGAATGGGGGAGGTGGTGATTCCCACGGCCAGCGGTCAAAGGCGTGGGGTCATTTTTCTCTCCCAGTCTGTAGAAGCTGGGCTGCTTCTCTGTGGCTGTCAAGTCAACGCCAGCCTCCATCCCTCCTTTGCTTTGCCCCTGTGCACCCCTTCCTGTGTATGTACCCCTGACACCTAGTGGTCTCAGGTCTTGGCTGATCCCTAACTCCCTGTAAGTCTGTGGCAAAAGATCTCTTGGGAACTGTTGCCCCATCTGTGAAATGAGCAGGCAAATTGCAAAAGGAGTTACCAAACAGTTCCAAGCTCTTGAGGCAGGAGGTGAGCAGTGGGGTAGACAGAGTAGGTCAGAGGGGCCAGCAAGACTGGGCAGAGCACCTCTTGGCTTCAACCAAGCAAAAGCTATCAGACAAACAAATGTAGCTCTGTTGCCAAAGAGAAGTTGGAAAGCTCAGCGCTAAAGAGATGGTGGCTTGGGATTCCTGTGTTCCCACCAGCCCCACCTATCTTTCCAGACTCCTACATTTCAGGATTAGTCCAGGCCACTCCATCCTGGAAGTTCTAAGAAAACCCCATTGGCTAACTCAGTGGGCACATCTCTTTCAGAGTTCCTTCCTCCATCCCGTCACCCTGGGTGCCCTGGTGCTGACAATGCTACCCTCTCTGGCAGCAGTGCTGTCCGGTTCATGAGTTTGTTACTTGACGAGCGTTGTGGGAAGGAAAGAAGGAGTGGGAATGAGGAAGGGCATGCTTGGGGAAAGTGTGTGGGGGCCACTGCCTTCCCCGTGAATTCCAGTTGGGGTGGGCAGGATAGCAACAGGTAACACCAGGTAGGGGCCCAGTAAAGGCTGCTGCATACTTTATTACTTTATTTCTACCCCGCCCAAGTCTACAATGTTTGTGCTGCTTTAGGGCACCTCGTATCCTGAGGACCTGCTGTCCTCTTGTGCCCTTTCCCCTAAGTCAGTTTATTGGCGATGTCTGTCACTGCCCATCTGAGGGCTACCCCTGGGGCTGGGTGGGAGGTAGAGGGGCAGCCAGATCCTTAGGGGGTCTCAGGACACAGCCCCAGAGGCCAGGCTCCCCTCTCACTCTGCACCACAACTGTGCCAGCGCCGCCGCCCCAGGGGCCTCCTGAGTTCTGCTCGGCTTTGGCTTGGTGCCTGCTGTGTGCCTGAGGGAGGTGGAACGATCCAGTCCAGATGTGGCCACTACAGGTGCCAGCCTTGGAGCAGCTGATTTGCCCTGCAAAGAAAGCATGGCGCTCTGAGGACAAGCCCATCTTTCTCCTTGTGGGACCATCTCTAGGAACTGTGTGCACAGACAGCTGCTTATCAGAAGTCTGGGAGCTTATTATTAATCAGGAAGTGTGATGAGTCACTCCTGGAGGGTGTGGCCAGACAGCAGTCACCAGCTGCTCCCTGACACACGGTGTCTCTAGGAAGTGGGACTTCCACAGGACCCGAGTCTGAATAACCAGGTTTAAAGACTTGTTGTAATGGGCTGGGAGAAGTCATGGAACAGAGGTTTCAAAAAGTAATTAGAGGGGCTGGTGAGATGGCTCAGTGGTCTAAAGCACCTACTTAGAACAAGCTAAGCTAAGCAAAGCACAGGGACTGCGGTTCAATCCCCCAGCACCATATGCCAGCCAGCCCCGCCCCCTGGTGGGCTGAGCTGGCCACACACACACAAAATAAATAAATAAATAAATAAAAATTAAAAAAAAAAAAAAGTAATTAGAGGGCTGGGATATAGCTTGATGTAAAGCAGCTTCCTGGCACAGGGAGGCCCTGGGTTTCATCCCTAGCACTGAAACAAAACAAACAAAAAAAGGAGCAGATATTCATACAGGAAGTCAGAACACTGGGTCCCAAAGTATGTTCTAAAGACCTCAAGGAAGCTGCGTGTGGTAGCACAGCCCTATAATCTCAGGTACTCTGGGAGGCTGAGGCAGGTTGATTGCAAGTTGAAGCCTAGCTGGGGCAATTTAGTGGATCCTGTTTTCAAATAAAAAAGGACTAGGTTCAATCCCTAGTACCACCAGAAAATGAGTAAATCAACCAACCTCAGGGAGGGCGCTGAAAGACCGCTGGTGGGGAGAGCTCTGCAAGGAGCTTTTCCACAAGCACATAATCCACCCAACACTGGGTTTTCCGCACAGACATCAAACAGAACAGTCTGTCGCAAGAGGATGAATGCAGAAGCAGCAGGTCTTAGAAACCAGCTGTCTTCTTAGAAGTTGGACTTTAGAGATTTGGGCTGGGGATATAGCTCAGGGGCACTGCCTGGCAAGCAGTAAGGTCCTGAGTTCTATTTCTGGTAGAAAAAAAATCCCACCCCTAAAAAAGAACCTCAACATTAGAGATTCACAAAAGCAAAGCTGGGTGTGGTGGTGCACTGCTATAATCTCAGCATTCTGGACATGTGAGGCAGGAGGATTGCAAATTGGAGCCCAGCCTAGGCATCATAGTGAAACTTGTCTCCCCCTTCTCCCAA